GAGAGGGATTCGCGGCTTAACTCGATCCGACGACAACAACGGGGAGAGACGCTGCGCGACGACGTACGATCGTTTGATAACGCGACATTATATTTACGTCCGTGTAAATGCCACCTCGGCGCTCCGGGGCGCCTCCGTTCCGTGTGTAAACCGGAGCAGCGCGGAGCGCAGCAAACGTCACACTGGCGTGAGGCAACGCGCGACGCACTTCCCGGACGGAGAACGAACGGAGGCTCCGGGGCTCTCGCGGTGGTAAAGGTGCCCAACCAAGCGCGAGCAGCACCGAGCGGACAAAGAGAGATGTAGAGATAGGGAAAACGATAAAGATGCTAGCACGGAGAACGGAATAGTTGCGAAAAAGAGAGACAGAGAAAGAGAGAGAGAGAGAGAGAGTAAATTTTTTTTATCCACCGAGGAGAAAAAAACGTACCTCGAACCGAGCGTCACACATCGGGTCACTCGGGACGATTAAGAGACAGTCGATGTCGGATCCTGCGTATTCCCCCCTGCCCTCCCCCACCCCGCGATATACATTCGCGAACGAACGTCGGCAGCATCGGCGTAGCCGCGTAAATTCCACGAAAAAGGTTAGACGGTAACAACAGCAGCAGCAGCAGCAGCAGCGACGGCGGCGGCGGTGGTGGCGGCGATGACGGCGACAACGATAACAGCGGCGGCGGCGGCGGTGGCGGCGCGCAGGGACGAAAGGCAAAGGAAGAAAAGGGCCACCGCGGGGAGTGCCGCGCGGGCGACCCTTCGATCGTAAAAGACCGGAGCACGCGGGTGGTTTCGTTACGCTGGCGGCGAGAACGGACGTTCCTCGGACTTACACTCGGCTCCCGGGGCACACGCAGAACGGACTCGGTCTCAGCGCGAGGCTATTTCGCTAGAACGCACGGAATAGCGAAGCGTAGGTCCGCTCGCTCGGCTGGCCGTTCCCGCGAGCGACCATCCTCCCCCCGCCGTTCGTCGTATGCAGCGCGAACGTTGCGCCGCGCCGCGCGCGCGATCGGAGCGATCGGCGGCGCGGGCGGCGGCGGGGCGATGCGGGGGGAGCGGGCGACGACGTTCGCGTGTGTATGTGTACCGCCTCTCTCGCCGTCCCTCTCTCCCGTCCCCATCCTCACCGCCCCGGCCACCGCCATCCCTCCCGACCGCACTCTCCTCGCCGCGTCCCGGAGCTGCCGCGCGATGAATCGGAGAAACGAAACTTTTTCGCGAAATCGCTACGTTTCAGCACCTAACTCGATTGTCGCACACCCGGCGGAGATTTCTGCCGCATGGTTATCGGAGCGGCCGTATCGGATGTACCGCGGCCACACTCCGATAACGGCCGCTTCGAAACGCTTTCGTTTCGCGTCCCGAGAAGTGCGCATCGACCTGACGGGATGGTTTTCGCATAAAAATATCGTTCGACGTCTAAGCAATAAGAGCACGAGGCCGCAATAATGAAATTACATTGACACTTGGACAGATTTCTAATAAAGATTACGTAAAATTACTTAGCGTATTCGCAGCTCCGAATTGAAGTCCGCTGTCTGCGCGCTTTATCTTCCGCCATACCGATCTTAATCTCTCTCTCTCTCTCTCTCTCTCTCTCTCTCTCTCTCCCTCTCCCCTCTCCCCTTCCCCTCTCCCTCTCCCTCTCCCTCAGGCGTAGATTGTATTACAACGTGTGTATCTTTATTTTTAAAATATTAAACGGTATAATGCCGGAGCATTTAGGAAATAAATTAGTTGTAGTAGGAGAAGTAAGCGAAAGGCAAACGAGACAATCAGAAAATATTAGAATAGATTTTAGAAAAACAAGAAGCGCACAAAAAAGTTTATTCTATGAAGGTGTGAAAATGTATAATGCCATACCGAATGAATTAAAGCGAT